AAGTACGGCTAGAGAACTCGGTGAATGAAATCTCGGCTTTGGCTAATCACCAGTTCATCGAGAACGTGAGTTGGTTATTACCGAAGCTCATGCTGATTTATTCAGTTTCAGAGGATTGACAACGAAGATATTTTAAAGTCCTTCGCAAAACCAGATGCGAAAAGTAGCGAAGTTGTTGAGGTAAATAAACGATAGTGATCTGTATATTTAAATTTAAATCACTTGCTTATTAAGATTATATCCATTGATCCCTTTTCTCTGTTTTCATTCCTCTTTCCTTCATTCCTTCCTTCTTGAACGACGTCTTGTTAGAACGGAGGCAAAGCTCGAGATGCCCGGCTGAGTACATGACTGACTTCGACTCTGCCGATGATGCCGACTTAGTGGGTGACGACGGTAATGGCATCCGTTTGCTCAGTGAAGCAGCATGCAATATTTCAGTGAAAATAGGCCTCTAGCTAAACTCTGCAAAGACAATATTGGCAAATAACCGTAAGTGTCCCGTCGAAGAAATCTGGCAGTTCAGATCTTGGCGCCATCATTTCCACGGATGGTAACTGTGATCGATACCGGCATAAAAGAATTGCACTGACATTACTTACGTTCGAGAGCCTTTCGAACGTTTGGACTCAAAGAGGGATTCCACTCATCACCAGGATCAGACTGTCGCATTACTGTCAGTCTGTTCTGCTCAATGGACTGGAAGCGGAACAGACTCACAGGAGCAAACTAACATCGAGTAGACAGCCTACAACGCCGTTGATTGCGACGGCTGCTGAAGATCAAGTGATATAACTACATATTTTTAAAGAAACGATAGATTCTTGGCACTATCCGATGTATAAAGACTTGGGTGGGAATCCTAACAACGACAGCGAAAGACAGGCGGTGAGTACATCGCATGACAGAAGAAACTAACCTGAAATCTTTTGTCGCTGACGAATCCTTCCCTAATTCTTTCTGAATCGATGTGCACAGACCAGCTCCTAATATCAAAATAGGACAAGTGAAGACGGAAGGATATTACAAAAGCTTTGAGCAGCATGCAGGTCTGCAAGAACGGCAAGATTGATCATAGAAGCAGCAGTAAACTTTCCTGCCTTTTCTCACTTTTTCTCAATGCAAATCACTTTCGAATAGATTCTTTGGCTTTCGGCACAGTAGCCATCGTCAGGGAAACTGCTTTTACAGCAATAGGATACTCCAACTTCCCTTACTGTTCTGTTTACTTATGACTTTTATTTATTGTACTTATATGGTTATTCCTGCAATTAGAATTTGCTTTCTGTTCTCGCGAATTTAAATGGAAACCGCATAACTTGACTCATTCGTCAGTAAACCAATGATTAATAATGTTATAACTTTTTTAAACAAGAATTCTATTTTGGCGGTTTTTCAAGGGAACGTTGAAAGAGATTGGAGCAACAGAAGTGGTTAAAGAAGCGATTGCTCGCAGCTTGGCGGTACTTGAAGACAAATTCATCAGAACCGACGGCTCAACAGCACCGACGGAGACAGACGGTGGTAACAACCAAGCTGACCGTTACCATCCATGCTATCAAATGAAGGTTATGCTTTGTATATTTTGACAAGTGTGGAACTGTGGCAGGGTGAAAAGCGTTCAATCCTATTTGACGGCGATGGTCGTTCGAATACAGTTTGAATATAAGGCGTGAATTTTTCCTGTCATCTAATTTCATTGAGAAGGGAATTATGTCATTGTTTTTGTATAGCCATCCCAGAAACGAGTAGGAATACGTACATTATTATCTGTATTGATTGTAAACTTACAATAAACAGACAGGTTTTTCAGCACTGGTTACGTAACAAATCACTTTTAATTTTACAGCGATATGCTAAACAGCATGACACAAGGAACTGGTGATTGTCTGTACATACATACATTCCTACACTACTAGTGTGGGTAAATATGATAGCAGTGTGGATTAGCATCAGAGTAATGCATTAACCATCAGAGTTATATCACAGGACTTGTTCGGTGCCCTCAGCCATAGATCAGCAAATTCTTTTCTATAGCTGAAATTCTAACATTCCAGATCTTTGGCACCAACCTTGAAAATTATGTTTGCCCTCAATTATGAATGGAAAAGAACCGGTGTTGAATAGTGCGTCGATCCCCTAAAAGCACAAACTGAACTCTTCAGAATTTTTCCATCCAATGCTTTATTCTGCATCATGATTCACTGACGGATTAGTAACATAACAGATCTCTGATGCGAGAGTCGAACTTGCTTATAATCATCGGTCAGTGATTTATGCACTTCGTCATTTCCCTCAATCCAAAACGGAAGCTGTGACGAAAGTAGCAACATGACCTGAAAGAAATGACCATTATGGATGCTAAATGACCTATTGGTATGCACGATTTGAAAGAAATTCATCTTCTCTTCGAATCTGATTGACCCTTTGCTGATTCATCAACGCGGCACGATGGAAAGTATCTGTGTGACACGTGCCGTGTATTGCATTATAATTGTAATTGCGAGGTAAAACTCGTGCATTGGAGTGAGAGAGGAATTACAACATCGTGAATACATCCGTATATATAACTCGGAGTATGCATTGTTATTCTAGTGTAATAGCTCTGAACACTATTGCTGCATGTTCCAGAAGTCCGCAGTTCCGTTGCGATTGCTTGCAAGTACCAGACGGCGAAACTGCTCATATCTTTTACACTAGTTCATCCTTGATATTGTTCTCCCTAGTCCATAGATCCAGTTCACAAGCTAATGTTCCACAGAGACTAGTGTCATCCATATCCATCATATTAACTATCTGTAGAATTTCACTTCGGTACCTTATGTTTTGTTTTCTTTATTGTTTCTTGGAGTTCAGTATTTTGAGTATTCCTGTAGTCTGTCGATTATCATTGAATCTCATAAAAGTACTTTTTGCTGTCATGTCCTATCTCCGTTCATTAGACCGAGAAGATTGATCTTTGTAGCATTCAACTTGCACAAACGACCACCAGCATCAGGGGGAATTTCACTGTTCCAACATGGACAGCCGGTATCACTGTGTGGGAAGATAGCGGGAGATTGACAGCACTCTAGTGGTGGC